TGGAGCTCAAGAGGCGGCAGCAGGACCTGCTTTCAGGCGGGAGGGAGTTGAAGAGCTCGTTGAAGCGGGCCTTGTGAAGTTGGTCGGTCAGCCGATGTTGCAGGCGCACCTGCGGTCTTGAGATGAGGTCCTGGAGGGAGGGGAGAGAGAAAGAGGGGCCGACCACTGCCGAGAGCGCTGTGAGGGCAGGAGCTGCTGCTTGAAGCCAGGGCAGGTCAAGGAGGGCGGAGGCTCCCCCTTGAAACATCCAACGGGCTCCGCGGAAGCGGCTAGAGACATCAGAAGTGGTGGCCGCGACTGATCCCACATAGGCGGCGCGATCGATCGAAACTGCAGAGATAAGGCCGAAACCCCCCAGCCGAATAGGCAGTTGGACTTGCGCAGACATCGAGCTGGGAAAGTCGCCGGGGAAGCGAAACATGCGCCTAAAGGTCGTGATGATAGCGGCGTCATGTTTCTCGGCGGCTGGCAGGGGAAAGTCGGTGTGTGGGGGGAGAAGGCGCAGCCAGTAGTTTAGCCGGGGACACGCGCAATAGCGGAGAAGCAAGCCAGATCCATGCAGGCCCATCTGAGAGAAGGTTACAATCGCGTCGAGCAGCGGCTTGTGATCGCTGACGATCTTCTCGAGGGAACGCTGCACGAAAGGCGTGGTGCCAAGAGGGCAGCCAAGGATGGTGATACCCTCGGCCGAGCATTTGACATTGTAGACATTGTCTGCATACCTGTGGCGTGCTGTTGGATAGCGATATAACTCAGTTGCAATGAGTGATTTGTCTTGCCTAATTCGGCCGCAGACGAGGTACAGAAAACGTGTGATTTGGAGTCCGACATGCTCCTTCTGCTTTATACACATTAGTATTCAATGCCTCATCAGCGTCACTATTCATTTACTCAACAACTGTTCAATTCGCGTCAGTATATGAGTAGATTTATAAGAAAGAGGATCTGTAAGCTTCCCGAAGCCTGAAATGGAGCGAGGAATAGATAGCGTCAGAGACTGGTTTTCACGCTTTCGTGCTGCCATCACTAACAGAGTAAGAAGACTTCACTTGGATTATTCCAAAGTTACCGAATCTTGCAGGTTCAATGGAGCTCTGCAGAGACTGGATCTG